CATCGTTTTAGAGAAAGAAGTCACATCCATCTCCAGGCAACGAGGAATCTTTCTCGGGAACAGAAAAAGACGCTCACGAGGCGCACGTTGTTAACCAAAAGACGTCATCCGAAGCACCGGATACCGAGTTCGTTCCGGTAGAGATCGTGGATGCGGATAAGGTACGTTTCCGTCAACAAGTATATCGTATTCACTATTATCGTAATAGGTCCTCAGAAGGCTGAATGAACCGATGAAGGCTACCGGCGAGTACCTAGTCGCGTGGCCGAAGCCTGAGTGGCGCATGCTCGGAGGGCAAACGGCCTGGAAGTTCCCCATCTCTAGTGGAGCGCAAGGATTGGTGGTGCACAGCTGGAGCCCGTTCCATCCCAACAAGCTTCTCCGCTCGCATGCGGGTCACATCTTTCTGGTGAGTCGCAAATACCATTGCCTTGGCGTTCACTATCTTCAGGTTCACGTCGAAGGAAAAGATGGCGAGAAGCTCTGCGATGCCTACGTTCCCGTACTAGAAGACGGTCTTCGATTCCTGAATAAGACAACATCAAGCGGGTCGGACGCTGAGACGAATGTCTAGTCACAAATTCCTCCAAAGCCTAATTTCCGCTTTCAAAGAGCTCTAATTCTGAGTCATAATACACCCAAATTCTGAATTGATAAGGCGAACCGCCTTTCCTTGCCGGCCAAATTTCCTTTTTTCTTTGCATTGCCCCTGGACGTCTTGCTTATGTACAGAACATACTTGCAGTTCTGACGTTTGGATTTCATTAAACATACACTTTTCTGTATGTAGAAGCCGCGGCCTGAACGAGTTACGATGGAAGCATTTCTGGCTGGCTCGCATAGCCTAGCGCCTTAGATAATGCATGGGCAAAAGCGCACCAGCTCAGTAACCTTCACGTGGTGTCTGTGTCCTCGAACCTTGAAATCTTCGATCGTTTGTCTTCTTTAGTTTCATTCCAGCATTCCTCTCATGCCGAAGGAGCAAAAACAGATGTGTGTGTGTTCAGTAGCCCAGCTCGCAAAGGGTACATAAGAGGTCAGGGATCGCCTTCGAGGAGCCGGGTGTCACGTTGCTGGATCATTCTTTACTGCGCAACATAAATTTTTACTGGTACGTCACTTGACCGGTGCGCACTGAGGGAATAATGGTTTCAGCGCTGAGACTGTTCCGCCTGTAAACAGGTCTCGCGCAGTTTACGATGCCGACCCAGACGCAAATTGCGTCCTCCGTAGGTGTTCTTGTGCTTCAGTTGTTTCTGCGGCTGCTGTCGTCTAGTTCGACCTTACCCATTCGATACCTTTGTGCCGATGTTCATTCGTACTATGGCTACTCTTTTGCAATCTGTGCACGAAGGTGCACAGATTGCGCAGTTCGGAACGATTCACTTCTAAAAGCCTGTTCCTGCTCTACTCGTAGCCCCTGTGAAGCAACTGTGCGTAGAGGAGAGTTGTCTTGACCAGCGATATACCTAGGACGGTGCCCAACGCAGCATTAAGGTGGCGATTGGCAGCTATGGTAAGCCAAAGGTTTTTTATGCTCATTCCAAATTAATCCAAAAAAATGATTGTGTTGACCATTAGAATTCGTATCCCTAAATGAACATACGCAAAGGTAGGATAAAGCATAGGGTGCTTATGGTACGCTAAAGTTTGCTTTTTAAACGAGGTAGGTGTCACGTGACATACATAGTCTCGCAACCGACAATTGCAGCAACTAGCGAAGTGAAGAAACCTCAACCAAGTTCCATGGTTATGAGTGCTTTGTGCAAGTTCTTCTTAAAGTTTGCAGACGAAATCGTTTGCTAAACAAGCTCAGCTCACCCGCCATGAGTAACTGAGATTGCCGATTGGTGATAGTGGATTCCGCGGAAACGAAGCAGGTTCGACCCCTAAGAACAAGTTATTACAGAGTGTCAACGAACGCGTCCGCTGGACTTCCTTACTCATGATGCCTTGAAGCGGTTCTCCCTACAAGGTGTTGTCATGTGTTTGGGCATCGACTAGGCCAAACGCATCATCGGCCCTCCTAGCATCACTGCCGGCATATTTTCCTGAGTGGCATTCTGAGAGGCATGGATGCCGGCGTGCCTAGAGGACCACGGGAGACCGCGTAGGGACAACGGGCTTAGAATTATCAATGAGACGGCAAGGGACGACGGTTCATTTTGTGCGCGTCCGTCTGGGGATATTCTTTGGCATATAGCACCTTGTTATTCATGTTTCACGGGCGTAGCCAGCTTTTGGAGAGCAATGCTTGTGGTGGCAGTGTGGGCTGAAAAGTTGGTTGGTAAAGGGTCCCCTTTCTGTACCCCCTCCCCCCGCCAGTTGGTCCTAGAAAGCCTGGTTGACAAATCCGAAGAGTCACGACAGCCAGCGCGCTCAGTTCGTCTTTTCATGACACTTTAACCCGCGCATAATGCGTCTTACCGTTACGTGAGCGGGTACATTGTTGAACTGAGCGACGTCTTCTCTAGTGGATATGCTCTTTGGTTCTGCATGTGAAATATTATCGCTGCCATCGGTTACTATGCACGTTCATGCGTGGGCCAAGTGTCTACGGGGAGGGATAAGGGTTTCACCAGCGAGCGCTGCCGGAAAAGGGCCATTTCTGAAGACATACGTTGCGCGCCGCCTGACAAGAATAGTTACCGGCGTTTATCTTACGGGCCACGAATGCTAACTGCATCACGTATCCGCACGTCATTGGCAATTCTAGACGTGCTGTTTTGTGGGTATATAACCCGAATGATGTTCATGGTTTGTTCCAGAAGCCTGCCATGATCTGGTCGCGTCGTGTATGCTAGGCGGCCTGCGTAGGCAGTAGCGTACGATGCAAGTGAACGCTTCGGGTCGTTCATACGTTTTTAAGCATAGCTCTTGCAGCATAAGGTCAACTACAAACAAATATGGCGTCAAGCCGTTTGAGCTCGATTATTATGGCCCAAGAATGCCCAGAACTTAGGTTGGAAATCGGAGTTCACACATTTAGTGACATTTCGAGCCTAAACGTGGGCTAGAATAATGGCCAGGTTTGGGTAGAGTAAACTAACCACAGTTTGTTGGACCGTCGAAAAAGTTGCTTGTAAACCTGGAAAGAGGTATGCCTCAGAGAAACAAATTTCCGAGGCTCCTTCGGCGGCGGGAACGTTGTCCTTTTCTAGGGCATCCAAATTTTACGTAGGCTTTGACCGCTATGAAGTGTCCATTTTAAACGAGCATGAGGTTTACGATTATTGATGAAACCCTCGAAACCCATGACGAAACGAAGAAGGAGCTTCGCGCCATGTCGAAATGTCGTGTATTAATTATTATGGGGTGCGCGATCTTTTGTCTAGAGTGCCGACGCCGACGTTGGAGTGGCGACGCGTTCCTTTCTTCCTGCCCTATCTCTTTTGACGAGAAGCATATCCCTAGTTTAGACCTTTTTAAATGAGCAGCAGCTTGGACGAAGTATCTAGCGGAATCGTCGGCAGCTCAGGCGCATCGGACGACGGACTGAGTGGAGTGACGAGTTTCGCAAAGTCCGACGTCATGCCGGTTATCACTACTAAGAACGGAGATCAAAAATGAGAAGGTAAGGTTCACTCCGTCGAGCGGACACGAATCCACGACTTTTAGAAATTTCGGCTCCATTTGCCCCATCCGCATACTTGCGACCACGATGAGCGTTCGCCACAACTCGACGACATGTCGAAGGTACGGTTAGCTTACGCTGAAGGATAAACGGTTGTGACAGGCACTTGTTATCTAGTGACGTTCAGGCGTACGAATCCATTATCCGGCACGTTGGCGAGGACACTCGGAGACAGGGCCTTGTGAAGACGCCAGAACGAGCTGCGAAGGCAATGCTATTCTTCACTAAGGGCTACGAAGAGAATTTGGATGGTACGCGGTTTAGCATCCGCATGTTCTAAGCAGACCGCTTTAGACATTCTCAACGAAGCAGTATTCGACGAGGATCACGACGAAATGGTGATTGTCAAAGACATCGAAATGTTCTCCCTGTGCGAGCATCACCTTGTGCCGTTCATCGGAAAGGTCCACATTGGGTACCTGCCCAACAAGAAGGTTCTCGGGCTAAGCAAACTCGCACGAATCGTCGAGATGTTCAGCCGCAGACTGCAAGGTCTGTACGTATCAGACTGTGGCGTATGTCGATGACGTTTTCAGTGCAAGAGCGCTTGACGAAAGACATAGCGCGCGCAATCCTCCAAGCAGTGCATCCTAGCGGCGTTGGTGTAGTCATCGAAGCCAGGTAAGACTCTTCGTGGTGGGTGCTACGTACCATGTCCCAACGTTCCTTTAGCCGAGACCCTAATCTTCCGAGTCAAGAACCTAGTCAATCCCCGCGCATCCAGTGCCTCATTACGGACCCAGGTCCGGCAAATGTTAGAAGATTCGTTTTAGCCACATGTGCATGGTGATGCGAGGAGTCCAGAAGATCAACGCTACAACATCCACCAGCTGCATGTTGGGCGTTTTCCGGGACGACCCGAAGACGCGTGAAGAATTCCTGACGCTGATAAAGAAGTGAAGTTCGATGAGGTTCATATGTCGTCGTATTCCGATACACGTTTCTGACTTGTCCAAGGCTGATATCTGTCATCTGATGAAGTTGTCTTTTGTTCTCTGCACGCTGATGTTGGTGTCCTTCTCTGCACGTTTTGTAAGCAGTAGCGAAACCGCTGTGCGGTTTTATGCGGTAACAATTGTCGCTAACGAGGTATGTCTGTAAGAACGAGTTTCAAAAATACGCATGTTGTAAAGTACTAATCCACGCAATCATACATCAGAAAGGTAGTCGGTCATCAGTGATGTGACGGGACCTGAAACCTATGACTCCACCCACGACACACTTTCTCCACTCTTCTCGTCTTTTGTGTTTATGGAGCTTTTTTATCGGATTAGCATTACATTACTGCTCGGATTTTATTCGCGTTTACCGTCACAATCTTCTCGAGGACCAACTTTCGAGTGCCGACGAAAACCCTCTACTAACCGGTCCTGTGGTGTAGTGGTTATCACGCTCGCTTCACACGCGAGAGGCCGCCGGTTCGATCCCGGCCAGGACCTTTGAGTTTTTTTTTTGGTTTGGCAAGTTCGTTTTCCGGAAACGCACACTCGGGGGTGTAGAGAAGCATCAGACCTGTTGTATTGACCTGTTCATGGTTTGAGAAGTTAAACTTTTTAGGTTGAAAGAGAATGCGCAACGTTCAACTAGTGCCGTGTACGCCTAGCCAAAGATATGGACACTCCTAGTGGTCACCATAATATGAGCAGGTCGAACATAACCCGAGTCGAAAATACTTTTCGCATTATTTACATGCGGGTAAAGTTTCGCTTAAGCAGAAGGTCGAACGCGGCTAATATTTCCACCGCAAAGGGCAAATGCCAGACGACGTGGAGCAATTGTCGTCCGTCCCTCAGACACATGCGTCAGGTGGACCCGCTAGGGATCTCCGAAAAATTCCTCCCACACACTTTATCGTCAAACATCTCCCTCCCAAGGGAACTTCTTGTGGTTTTTTGCAGCGGGAAGAAGTGTCATAGTTTCCCCAGCAACCACCAGTGGATCGGCGTAAGTGGGAGGCTATTGTTGTCCCGTCGAGAAAGGTGAGAGTTCCCTTCCCGTTGCAGCGCATTTGGAGGTGCAATTAAATCGGTAGGGTGTCCATTTGGAGTAGGCACTTAGGTAACTGTGTTTACCGAGCCTGGCCTACACACCTTTCATTCAAGTGATTTGAGATCGTTGCGACCTTCAGCGATGGTTCGCTTTTGCACGTGATTGTTGGGTCCGCTAAATCCGCTAATACACCGTTCATGCTTTTTGTACCTTTCAAGCGCCATCCGTTGAGCATGCAAATGATGTTCCCTTGAGCTTGCGTGGCTTTATTCATTTCCGCATAGACTGCGCATATGCTTGCACGTTATTCGTTCTAAGGCTTGCTAGGCAGAGCAAACGTCGCCGTACCACCACCGTCTAACTCAACGAAATTAGCCGTTTACCGTGCATTGTCAAAGTGAGACCAGGAGTTCGAGAGCATAAGCTGTCAAATTTATGGGGTCATGCGCCCGGTACATTCGACTTTTTTGTTGCACTTTTCGGATCAAACTTGAGCCGCTTCGTGCGGAGCCAGTTGCATGAACGACTGCGTAACGGTGGCCAATTAGTCAAATACACACCCATTTCTTTGTCCTGGGCATACTGACGAAAGTCTTGCTTTCTTCACGGACAGATTCCGCGTGCGTCCCCTAAGGAAACTGTACGACGTCAGGTAACTGTACTCAGCATCGCCATAAATCCAGCACCAGCAGCAACACAGTAGCCTATTAGTTGTGTCATTGCGACACAAACTACCACATTCATAGAATTTATGAGCTTTTGCGCCATCTGATCGTCCTGCTTTCGAGCATCAACTTCTAACGCTTGCAGCGACAAGATGTATGCTCGTTAATGTCCGTCCAAGTGTTTTATTCTTTCATTCTTGCAAGCATGCGTCCAAAATACCCATAGCCACCATTGTGCGACTGCAAGTCAAATATAACGACAACTTACGCTTAAAGCACAACTTTAGTGCTGTCGAACTGACCCTAAAACCGGGCCATCCTAGTGTCACATAATTACCACATACTTGGCATGTTCCAGAGTGCGTTCAGTGTCCTTCGAATAGCATAACCAAGCTTTTAGCGCATGCCGTAGCCCTAGGGACATGCCTCCAGCTCCTATTGAATGTCACTATGCGTTTCGGTGTGTGGCTTACCACGATCCTCGGATCGTTCAAACCGGTTCATTAGGCTTCGCGTCAAGTATATCGTAAGAAGTTATGCAGGCGCCTTCGTGCCTTGTCCCTATAGTATTCGTCTCCGCACTGCACAGTACAGGCCCTCCATTTTTCACCGCGTTCCACGTAAAGCGCCTAATTATCACGGAACAGCCGCGGCCTTTGCCCCAATTAGCGCCCATTTGCAAAAAGTGCCTAACGTTGGATGCACACAGGTCGACGCTTTGCATTGACCTTCTACATACGCTGTAAGTGTGTATCGGAATTCGTATTTCTTACAGGCTGGCATGATTTTCAACGCCATTTGAGTGGACCTGACTCGGGAAATGTAAATAAGTGCATGCGCGTCACTCAGTCCGCGCTACTGTCCGCGTTTGCGGCCGCTTGTGCCTCCGTGGTATCCATTTCCGACTGTTTGCCGGCCCATTATAGGCGAGCGGCGTCCGAAAGTCATTGATCCCCTATTCGGAATATGCTCCACTGCACTGCTCTTTGCGACTCTTCACGCCACCAGTAGTACGTATTCTTTGGCCCGGTGGCGCTGCACAAATGAACTTCGCTTCGNGGTGAGAGTTCCCTCTGCGTTGCAGCGCATTTGGAGGTGCAATTAAATTTGGTTGCGTGCCCATTTGGAGTAGGCACTTAGGTAACTGTTTTTACCCAGCCTGGCCTACGCACCTTTAATTCAAGTGATTTGAGATCGTTGCGATCTTCAGCGATGGCTTGTCTTGGCAGGTGAATAGCGCTCAATCCGTCCGCTATTACGCCCTTCATACTTTTAGTACCTTTCAAACGTCATCCCTTGAACATACAAATGATATTCACCCTGAATTAACATGGCCTTTGTTTGCTTCGGTATAGGCAGCGCATGTGCCTGCGCATTATTCGCTCTAGGGCTTCCAAGCGCTGTGAACTTTTCAGTAACGCTTTTTCAAAGTGTAATCAGAATCGTCCAACTCAACGAAATTAGCCGTTTACATTGCATTGACAAAGTGCCATTAGGAGGTCGAGAGCATATGTCAAATTTATGAGGTCATGCGCCTGTTACATTCGACTTTTTTCTTGCACTTTTTGCATCAAACTTGAGCCGCTTCGTGCGGAGCCAACTGCATCAACGACTGCGTAATGGTGGCCAATTAGTCAAATACACACCCATTTCTTTTTCCTGGGCATACTGACGAAAGTCTTGCTTTCTTCACGGACGTATTCCCCGTGCGTCCCCTGAGAAACTGTACGACGTCAAGTAACTGTACTCAGCATCGCCATAACTCCAGCGCCAGCAGCAACATCAGTAGCCTATTAGTCGTGTCATTGCGACACAAACTACCACATTCACAGAATTTATGAGCTTTTGCGCCATCTGATCGTCCTGATTTCGAGCATCAACTTCTAACGCTTGCAGCGACAAGATGTATGCTCGTTCATGTCGGTCCAAGTGTTTTATTCTTTCATTCTTGCAAGCATGCGTCCAAAATACCCATAGCCACCATTGTGCGACTGCAAGTCAAATCTAACGACAACTTACGCTTAAGGCACAACTTTAGTGCTGTCGAACTGACCCCTAAAACCGGTTATCCTATTGTCACATAATTGCCACATACTTGACATGTTCCTGAGTGCGTTCAGTGTCCTTCGAATAGCATAACCAAGCTTTTAGCGCATGCCGTAGCCCTAGGAACATGTGTCCAGGTTCCTGGTGAATGGTACTGTGCGTTTCGGTGTGTGGCTTACCAAGGATCCTTGGATCGTTCTTCCCTGTTTATTAGGCTTAGCGTCAAGTATATCGTAAGCAGTTATGCAGGCACCTTCGTGCCTTGTCCCTATAGTATTCGTCTCAGCACTACACAGTACAGGCCCTCCATTTTTCACCGCATTCCACGTAAAGCGCCTAATTATCACGGAACAGCCACGGTCCTTGCCCCCAATTAGCGCCCATTTGCAAAAAGTGCCTAACGTTGGATGCACACTGGTCGACGCTTTGCACTGTCCTTCTACAAGGGCTGTAAGCTTGTCTTCCAAACTTCTATTTCGTACCGGCTAGCATGATTTTCAGCGCCATTTGAGTGGACCTGACTCGTGAAATGTAAATAAGTGCATGCGCGTCACTCAGTCCGCGCTACTGTCCGCGTTTGCGGCCCGCTTGTGCCTCCGTGGTATCCATTTCCGACTGTTTGCCGGCCCGTTATAGGCGAGCGGCGTCCGAAAGTCATTGATCCCCTATTCGGAATATGCTCCACTGCACTGCTCTCTGCGACTCTTCACGCCACCAGTAGTACGTGTCCTTTGGCCCGGTAGCGCTGCACAAATGAACTTCGCTTCGCTGGTGCTAATCCTCGCGTCCTTGTTGACATTCCTGGACGATGTATGGGCGTCAAAAGAGGTAAGCTGATAGGTTGCCCTAGGTTTTTTTTTAGTTTGTAAGATGGTATGTCGTTCTTTGAGAATACTCATTTTGCAAAGATTGACACAGGGAGGCTTTTTGGAACTAAATGTTTCGGATCAGCCTCGAAGAGTCGACTACTTAATGCCCGTTCTCTTGGGAGAGCTCTAGTACCACTAGACTTTCAGGTCGAATTCTGCGACGACTACTCTGTGTGCCTGCAGAAGCTAGAAGGGAAACAGCGCGAATGCCTGAAACTGCCCGTACCCGATTCTGAACGTGAACAGGACTTGAGCAGTGCCGGAAGGAGGCGACGGAAAGAGGTGCATCGAGAATTGGCATCACTTCACCTGCGGAAGACGGAGCTGCTACGCGACTGCGTGGCAGATAATATTGACCGAGCGGAGGATATCCTGGATCCGGTCAAGGTAGCCGCTTGAAGGAGTTGCCATCACAGCTTTGCCACTTCCAGGAGAAAAGGTGCATGGACGTAGCGGACAAGCTCTCAATGGCCACTGAACTTCTTCTGTCCACCAAGAAACCTTCGAGAAAGACCACTAAGCGGAAGGAACTGACAAGGCAGGCCTCGAAAACGTGTCGCAAAACGCGGCAGATGTTGCAGCGGAAGTGCCATCAGCTCTCCAAATGTTGCTCCATTGCGAAAGAGTGCGTGAATAGCTTCTCCTGTCGTAGATATAGTAGCACGTTGCAGATGCGAACTGGAGGCGATGTCAGTGCAAGAGCAGATTAACACTCTCCGCACCGAACTGAGGACGCTTGGCACAAATGGGACGCAGGTGGTACCCAAACCGATCTCAAAGCCTTCTCGAAGCAAGCCGAAGCCTCGCTTATTGAAAGCCGACCAGAAGAAACGATAATTGTATTTTTAAACTGTGTAGCTCACTGCCTAG